TCTATATGGCATTAAATGATAGGTGGAATTAAATAAATCATTTAATTTCACCAATCATTTATATCCACATAGACTGGGGATGCATCCCCACTGTGGATGAATAGCAGTTTTCTTACCCGTCCCTTTGTGCTTTTTGGGATGCGTTTTAGGGATGTCAATTATATGAATTAATCTACTTGTACAATGATGGATGACAAGGTTTCTTAATAATGTTTGATGTGGCAAAATCTGGACAATTTATTTTTTAAAAAAATCATCACTAATAATGATTGAGGAAGAAGATAATGTTTGATGTGGCAAAATCTAGACAATTTAGAGGAACTCATTCTGTGGGGGAACTCTTCATTGGCTGCTCGGACGATAAGCAACAGCGGAAGTGGCGAAGCTAGGTGTGGGAGACGAGAGATGGGGGTAAAGATTGAGGAAGAAGATAGCACGAATAATGACAGTTTTTTGCACACTTTTATTTTCTTTATTTAGCTAAACATACAATGTATCCAAAATGCCATTAAATATTTAAATTACATCCACAATATAGGAAACAAGATTGACATCGTATAGAGTAGCAAATGAAGTATTTACATGGTTTAAAGTGTTTAAACTGGCAATTCAACTTCTTCTTTAAGGATTTCAAACTACATATTTAACCAGACTATTAAACTGGAACAGTCCTGTGGGAAGGAGCAGTCTGCTCTGTTATCTCATCATCATCCAATTCATTTTCACCTGATGCCTCCTCCAGTGATTTTCCATTTGCTTCCGGCACTAAGAAAGTGAACAACATTCCCAATGCATTGACGCAGCCGAGTACAATGAGCGAATATTTCACACCAATGCCTGCTGGATAGCCAGCATCTCTCTTGCTCAGATCTTTAGGCTGTGATGCATACAAGAAACCAAATGCTCCTACAATAGCACCAGCCTTTCCAGCTGCAGCAGATATGCCGTGGCAGGTTGATCTTAGTCGGGCAGGGAAAATTTCTGCTGGGACAACAAACGTTGTTGCATTTGGGCCGAAGTTGGAGAAGAAAAATGTCAGTGAATATATAACTACAAAGCCAATTCTGTTCTCTTTGTGAGTCCAGTGATTATAAGGAATAGCTAATGCAAACATGAAGACGGTCATGAAG